GGACCCACCGGTGGGTCCGTAGGGTTCTAGGGGTTAAACTGAAATAAAACTTAAAAATCACTTAACTTTCTTTTTTTCAGTGGCCCTAATCCTCTTCCGTACTATCCAAAACTCATAAAGTGGAAAAGTTCTAGTTTCACCTGGTTTGATTCTGTTAAAAAAAAACTTCTTTAAGGAATCTTGGCTATCAGATTACTATTTGATTAATTTAAAAAAATAATCAACAGATTAAACGATTCGCAGAATAATTGTTAGTGTCAGCCCTAATATGCTTCCCAAATGGCAACTGGCTGGGACGTTTAACAGGAAAACAAAAAAGCCATTTAAAAAACTCAAACATGTAAAGAATATAAAATAAATCTCATGAAAAAAAAAGAACAAAAAGACCATTAGAAATACTTGGATTGGATATTTTTTTCTTTGCAACATAAAACTTAGAAAACAAATCCTTACAAAGAGAACTGTATATATGTCAGGGTAGGTAACAAACTTCCACTGCTAATATCTACCGTTTACAGTTTGTTTACCTGAGTTAGGAATAGTACAAATTACTATTTCGCTCTTTTCGCACTTTTTCTTTTTTCCCCAAACATGGTCGACCCGCTAACAATCGGCATTAGTCGGTCTAAACCCTCACTGGCAGCTGCGTGGCCTCTGTCTGCGTGTCTGGTGACATCATCGAGCTGGGTTAGCATTGATGATGTCATAATTGCGACAAAAATCAGGGAAGTAAACAATGCAGAGCAACATAGACAGAAGCCGGGGTGTAGTCAGTGTGCTTTATTGTTTCTCCCTATTATCTGTCTGAATCCGTCTCACCAGAGCTGCTCCATGTTTATTGAATGTAAACAGTTGTTTCTGCTTGTTAGATCAGAGGCGACTGGTGCAGTGTGTTGACATCCGTACGCTGCGTTCAATGATGTCACGTAATTTAACGGGTCAACCCGGCATTAGGGTTCCCAGAGCATGCAGATCAGAGCCGAAAAGTAATAAATAGTGATACTGCAATATCATGGTAACAACGCTGCCAGCTTTCACTGATCTTGTTTGGGGTGGTGGTGGATGGTATCAGAGGAAGTTGGGTTTGAAAGACTTTGGGTTTCATTTTCACTCCTCTTAAGACGTTTCCCACTGAAAATACCAGGTTTACGCATAATTTTCAACCGGCTAACAATCGGCATTTGGCTACCTTCCCACTGGCTATAAAAGCTGGTCTAACCCCTCGCTGGCAGCTGAGTGGCCTCTGTCCACCCGCCACAGCGAGTCTGGTGACATCATCACACTGGGTTACGGTTGAAGATGTCACCAGTGCCACAGAAATCAGGAAGGTAAACAATGGAGAGCAACATGTAATGAAGCCAGGGCGTAGTCAGTGTGCTTTACTGTTTCTCTCTATTATTTGTCTGAATCCCTCTAACCACACCTGCTCCATGTTTATCCAATGTAAACAGAGTTGTTTCTGCTTGTTAGATCAGAGGCGACTGGCGCGGTGTGTTGACATCTGTATGTGGCGTTCAATGGTATCACGTAATTTAGCAGGTCAACCCGACTCCGGTGTTTCCAGAGCATACCGGTCAGAGCCAAGGAGATTTTAATGTGGTTTTAACGTCGATTGTCGAGTTTAAACAGTTTCTTCAGCCAGTGGGAAAGTGGTATTAACAACAACAGAGTAGTCTGAGGTTTTACTCAAGTAGGATTAGCGATACTAAGAATATTATAAGAATATTATTCAAACAAAAGTAAGAGGTACGGCACAGTAAGCCTACTCCTATAAGTACATTTGCTTCAAATAGTTACTCAAGTAAATGTAGGCTAACCGTAAGGTTTGTATCTGGAAGAAAACGACAACCTAGGGTACATTAAGATAAAGGGATTGTTCTAATGTGAATTATCATCCTTCCTCCTGCCTGTTTCATCATATAACATGTTATTAATGAAGTTTCAACTGGTTGAATAAAAGGTAAAATAAAAGATTAAAAGCAGTTCTGCTAATAACATCATGTCAGATCGTTTTGCTATTAAATAAAATCCTAAAAAGAGATTATTTATTTTTAATTCTTGAGTCTCTACTGGCTACCGATAGATAGGTTTATTTTTTATTTGATTTATTTCACTAAAGTGCGAAGGTTGCCATGTCTTTGGGTGCAGCTTTCCCTGCCTTTCCACTCACCGATGAAGTAGGACAGTAAGATGGCCAGAAGGGCGGCAGCTGCGATTGCCGTCACCGCCGCGCATTTCCAGCTGCAGTATTTGGACGGCTTCTTCAGCTTGAAGGCTGAGCGGGAGAAGGTGTTCCTGGGCAGCAGGCGAGGGGGCGGAGAGTAGACGGTCCCTGAAGTCAGCGGGTATCCAGGGGAGGAGCTACTGAAGAGAGGGGTGGTCCCTGATGACGTCTTGAACAAGAAATGCCTGCGGAGAGATAAAAGGAAAGACAGCAAAACATTTTAAAACTGGACATTGATCTCTGCAGCTTTGAGAGCAGACAAAAACAATATTTGAAGAGAAGGTGACTTATGTGAGGCTCTGTTCAATTTTTCGGTCTGATAAACGTATTTGGGAGAACACGGCTGACCCGTGGCTGTGACTCAGCCCTTCCTGTCTTATCATGACCTCCACCTGATGCAGCCTCACATCTTTCCCTCACTGCCCTCGCTTTTCTTCTCCTCCAGCCACTTATGATGTGTCCTGTCTTTGCCCTTAATGGCTAGACAGGATCAGGACCGCAGCACTTTCTTCTCTTTCTCATGGTCCAGGCGGGTCAGAGCTCAGAGAGAACATCAAAGAGGGATCTGAACCCCCATCCTTTCACTCATGTTTCCCATTATCCTTTCCCTTTACTGCTGATGCTCACACAGTGACCGTCCTGCTCTCCTTATGTTTCTGTTTAGTGCTTTCTTGTCATTTACTATTTTCATCACTTTGTTTCATTTTAAAAGCAGATTCATTTCATAATCTAGCCTTTTAAAGAAGAGCTGCAGCCGCAGTGGGAAGCATTGCACATTTGAAATGGTATAAAAGACGGTGAAATGAAAGAAGGGATAAAAAAAAGGGGGCAAAAGCTTTTTGTGTCATCCTTTGTGACATGTACCCTGGACTGGCATGTGGAGAAAGGATGCAGACCCAGACACAGACCTCAGGTGGTATGACAGAACAGAGCCCTCAGGTGAGTTCGACATATCACCGGAGGAAAGGTCACCTCTCTGCTGCAGAGATGGAGCAAAAAGGGACTTTGGCTCACGGTGTTTGTGGAAGTTGTCCTGTTTGTGGCTTTGTGATTCAGTCTGGAAGAGATGTTGTTCATTTTCATCTGACCCTCTGAATCTCCGACCTTGACGACAGGGGCGGATTTACCATTAGGAAACACTAGGCAGTTTCCTAGGGCCCTAAGTTCCTGGGGCCCCCATAAAACTCTGATTACATAAGTTAATACTTATTTGTGCACATTAATCATGTTTTTTTTTTTTTTATAAAAATCCTTTCACTAAAATGCCATCAGAAGGCTTATAATATTAAGTGTCTCAGCCCCTCCTTCAGTGTCCACCATATTGGATCAGTCCATTAGCTGCACATGTTCAGAAAGGTCCAAACAGACAGCAGCAAACCATTTGAAAACAAACCATGCAAAGAGCAGTGTTGCCAACTTAGCGCTTTAGTCG